CGGGGGAACACCAACCAACCCGGATCTCTCCCCAGCCCACGGGGCAGGTTGGCACACATCAGTGGTGCGAGAGCAAGGCTGTACCAGTCCCTCATCACGGTGACTACGGGTGGGCAGGCATTTCCCATGGGGGAAATCGGCGGTGCTAGCTCCGAGCAATGGCCAGTCAGTGGCAGTCACTGCACCTCCCCCTACCCATCCCCAAACCCCACATGGCGGTGTCTAATGGCCAATATTGTAGCTGCATAGCAACCAACAACATCAACCAAGGTCCTGCCAATGCTGGCTTGGGGGGCCCAACGGGTTATCTCTAGCTGGTAGAACACCAAGCTTGCCCAGGCACGTATGTGAGGCCAATGGGGATTGAACCCACGCCCTCCTGAATGCAACTTCTGTGCCTTACCAACTGAGCTAGGCCCGCAGGCTTTTTCGAGATGCCCTGAACCTTACCTTTGGGCCTTCCTGCACTACTCAGCACATGCACAAAAGACAAAAACTATGGTGGTGTATACTTCCATGTTCTAGCMGGAAGATTCATTCATTCACATCACATTTTGCACAGTGGTGGAGCAAGGGCGTTTGGCCATCCCTTCCGTCACTTATCACTTACTAGACCCCACCTGCCCCAAAACAACCCCAATCCCCTCCCCCCCCACCTTCAAAAACGAAGGCCGAAACGAAAAAAAAAATAACATCCACCCCAAAAAAGGAAAGGCCAGGCGACACCCGCCACGGCCAAACAACGACCTATGCAACCTGCCCTTGGTCGCCCGCGCTCCAACCTCTGAGCCGACCGTTTCGGCTACCGGTCTGTGCCCTGCCCCCGACCGTGCACCTTGTAGACTCCCCATAAACCCCGTTAGGACTCGTAGAGACTTCCATAAAAAGGACGGCCCGCTACACGACAAAGTGCAACGGGGTAAGACGCAGCCTTTGGCTGCGAATACATGGTCTCTCCACAGGTGCAGCAATGCAGGCTACAGTGGGTCCGTGCGCAGATTCCATCTCGGTCCGCCAGGAAGTCCGAGTCTAAGCTGGGGCAGGAAGGGATAGTCCAGGCTGGGTTGGTCACCCATTGGGGTGTACTGCGTGGTCTGGGGGGGACGGGGCCACAAAGCAGGCTATCTGAATTGGTTCATGTAGGGCCAAGGGGATGTCATTACCCAGCAGCATCCTAATGAGAAATAAGGGCTTTGATTTCTTTACCGGGGTCTATGATGCCCAGGCCCCCTTTGGATCTTGGCTGGATGAGGATGTCCCAGGCCAGGCC